GCTGGCAACATATACACCAGCTAAGAGCGACGACTTCCCGGGCCGACGATTGCAAGACCCTCCTTCTATGGATGGTCATCAAGAGGTTGACCGTGTCATCTCGGATCGCAAGTATGGAAGCAAGCCGCGACAATACAAAGTTACATTCAGAGCATGCGATCCCGACGACACTCGGTGGATTTCAAGAGCAGATTTGAAAGCATCCGCACCGCTGATCTACGCTCACTACGATCGTCAAAGGTTAGCTAAGGGACCCCCACGACCTGCCCCTCCCACCCGGACTGTGGTCCCTCCCTCAGACAAACAGCTTCGCCCTCGCAGGTAAGCTCGGTCTTTCAAGGAGGTGGGGATGTGGCATATTGCGTAGCCACACGGGCCCTGCACGGCCCGTCCCGCACTTTCAGCCTAAAAGCCTAAAACTTAGGGCTTACAGGCCCCCGTCGTTCAGCCTGAAAGCTGAAATACGAGGGTCTGCAGGCCCTACTCCATTTCAGCCTATTTCTGGGCCTTTCAGGCCCAGAGTTTTTCCAGCCTGAAACGGAGGGCCTTTTTCAGGCCCTCATTGTTTCGACTACCCCTAAGACTCAGGCACGAATACAGGGTTGCAGAACAGGCCAGAAATAGCCTGTTCCTCACGAGCTTGAGCAGGAGCTGCAGCTGCAGCCCCTGCCTCCCTTCGGCATTGGAAAGAGCATCCTCCTGGACTGCTCGCACGAGTCAGGAGGCACACCCGGTAGTACATAGGAAGTTCCCATGCACTTCACGGGCAGGTAGTTGTCAGTAGGCACAAGTAGTCTTCAGGATTCGGCCGCAGCACTCAGGAGGAGCGCTGCAGTAGTCTTCAGCGCTAGGCAGTAGTATTAGCTTTAGTAGTAGTCTTTGACGTTGGGCGCCCATAGCCATAGTGGTAGTCTTCAGCGTTGGGCGCTATTAGGTGGTAGATCGTAGAGTTGGGGGAGATGGCTGGCGGAGGCCAGCGGTACTTACTTGTGGCGCCATAGCTCCAGATCCATCTTCAAGGTACCTGCATCAAGGCGCCAACTTCACAGGTTAGTACTGGACACAGAGAGAGAGAGAGTTCTTCTTTTTCCTCTTCTAAGTCCACCATCTCTTCTCACCCTCTCGCCACCTGACTTCTCAGACTACGACAGAGAGAGAACGAGTTGTGACTTGAGACTTGACGACATTGGATCCAGACTGGACGTTTGGGATTTCGACATTTCGACGAGGGGCTATTTGGGCCAGTGCCGAGACTTGGTGTTGACGACATTCCCATCTTCCCCTCCTCTTCGTCTAACCCCTCCTTCTTCGTCTGTGTATGGTTGGGCTGGCGCAGTCTTCTTGTGTGAAGCGCCAGACCCCCTTCACACCAGATAACGATGATGATGATGTGTGTTCAGGGCTGCATTGCAATATTGATTGTTCGGATCATTCGTATCTAAGTCTTCCGCTGTGTTATCTTGTACTTTGTATTGAGAGGTCGGTTCTTGTTCTGGTCTGCACGTTACAGTATGCAACACTATATAAGGCTTAGACCCTAGGGTAAGGGACTGCTTAAGTGGATGCTACCCTGTCTGAACCTAGGGTCCAGAGTCTCTTGGGGCCTGTAGTAGATTGTCTGGGCCTGGCGTCTGAAGTTTCGTTCGACAAGGGTCGTCCAAATCCGCTTCCACCAGGGTTGGGCAACCTATCAGCCCTGGTGCCTATCACTGCTGTTCGGTCCAAGTTGCCTGCCCATTGGTAGGTTAATGGTCCTGAGTGCTGGTCACAATGAGGTAGGATAGTGGGATAGGGGGGTGCGCTAGGAGTATTGACGTGAGGATGGGATGGGAGGTGGTCTCATATTCTGGGACACCCACAGCCCACTGCTCCAGCTAATCAATGTGCACTCAGTGACTGGCCTCTACAACACTATGGACTTCAAAAAAAAAAAAAAGATTCCCATCGGTGGAGCCTCACTGCCAGGTCCATTGGTCCTGAGGACCTACCGTCTTCCCCCGAACATAACGCATATGCGTTATGTTCAAGTGAACGAGACCAACTTTGCCTGCACAAGGGGGTCGGGTCCAGGCTAAGTAGGCTCAGTTCTGGACCACGACTGGGGGCCTCACAGCCTTGGTGAAAAGGTAAAAGTAAGGTTGTGACGTACCTTTCCATGTTCTGGGTTGAGTTTCATTCCTTTCCCTTATTTGGGCCCTTGCTCCACTCCTCAGCAAATGTGCAAAATGTGAATGAATCTTTCGCTAGAACGTGGACAAGTACAACCCCTTTTTTTTGTCTCGGTGACCACGGTAGTGCAGAGAGACCTTCGTGAGTGGCTTTTTTATTCTTCCACTTTCTTGGCCGCGCCACATTCTTGGCTGTCAGAAGCCCAACTTTCTTGGCTATCAGAAGCGCCTTCACGCAGAGAGAGAGAGAGAGAGAGAGAGAGAGAGAGAGAGAGAGAGCTCTACAGCGCGTGTCAGTGACCTCTAGGGCAGTTTCTTGCCTGAAGAAGAGCATAGGGGGCACACACAGAGAGAGAG